AGGTAAAGTTTCCAAGCAGTGCGGAATAGGGAAGCAGGAGTATTCAACTCCTTGAAAGGAGGTTTGGTGTTGTTGTGTGAGCACGGGACAGCAATCAGTGCAACTGTCCCTAGAAGGCGTGTGCTGCTCCTATCCTCGATCTAATCTGCAAGTGGAAGTGATTTTGCTCGAACCACGTGCTCCGACCGGCGACCGCAAAAAAACCAAGACGGTTTTCCACGCCGTGACTTAATGGGTCCGTAGCGTAGCCAATCAGACGACTTCTATCCTCGGGCCCGGCCGGACGGTAGCCGCGTTGGCAGATGCACGCGTGTCCGGCGCCGGGGTCGCAGGAGTGGTCGCAGACGTAACGCTGGCGACAGCTCCGAGTGCTCTGGATCCACCTGGCGTCGACCGCGTCTACAACAAGAGACCGAGTGGCACAGTTAGGAAAAGCCAATAGTCAACGCAGCCCCAACAACATGTACACACAAGCTTGAAAAGTACAAAGTGTTGGTTGCATTATCAAAAGGTCAGACTTTCCGCAATCGATGATATCTGGTTTCGTGTAGAGGTGGATTGTGCACGGATGGGACGAAGGCATCACACGAACATTTTGCATGCAGTAGAGTTAGTATCAGTCTGTGATTGACGAGATGCAGCCGTCAGATTGTCGAACGTTCAAGAATGCCCTTGAAGATTGCGTGGACGAACAAGGATTGGTGGTGCCTTCAGTGGAACAACTTGACAGCATCGTAGCACTGATGGTGATGGTGGCAGTGTCAGTTGAACATGCCTCGTGGTACTACGAGAAATCGCGTGCTTGCTGGTGCTAAGTGTGCTTTTTAAACTGAATCCCTGTCGTGAATTGAACGGTCAGAAGGGAATGGAGAAGAAGCAGAAGAGACAGGAGTTGGGGAGAGCAGTTCGTGGCATCCACTGCTATGGGTCTCATCTCCGATGGCACGGTGCAATTCGGATGGATAGTTAGTTGCCGAGATTCGCGCCTACGCCATGTCTTTGTGGATCCAGACGCCTTC